GCTGCCGCAAGCGGCGGAGCATGCAGGCAGACCTTCTGGGTCCCACACATGGTTACCAACTAGCCTCACCCGCTATAGATTTCACGGTCTTCCTAAAAACCATAGCAACATTGTTTGTTGTCACGACACTAAGAATATGAAATAGTGCAAAAAAAAGACAGGGACTTGAAGTAGGCAGGACAACTATGATAAACTAACTAGCTCAGGAATTGACTTTTAATAGCGCAATGCCATCCTTCTGGGCTTCTTTCCTCACTGATTCTTAAACAAAATCTGCTTTGTCAACTGCGCTCGGACATAAGCCCCCCTGTTCTTTTCGGTGAGCCTTTTGCATAGCTCTCGAAGTCTAAGGGTCATGTACTCGTTTAGGATCAGCCTGGTCAGCGTGATCACATGTTGGGGACTGTCCTTATAGTGTCCTGTCTGTGACAAGCTCCCCTGATGCTTCACAACGAAGCTCTGGAAAGCGTTGAGAACAAGGCGCTGTACTGTAGCCTTTTGTGGTTCCTTAGTTCCATGCCTGAATGTTGACTCTGCACAGTTCAGGGCATGACGTACAAACAAAGATGGCATGATCAAGCCTCCATTGTTTCTTATGAAAACGAGAAGGCTTGTCACATGATCATCAACAAGGATGTCAAGGCATTCTGAGCATGTCACCTTCTTCGACACAACCCGCACAATAAATCCGCCTACATACTGGGCAATCTCGGCACTGAATTCGGTTAAACCGTGGGTTGCACCAAGGTAGTCGTGGTCAGCAAAGCTAAAAAATGTGTCCAGTTGCAGCGGGTCTATCTCTTCTGCCTCATCATTTTCCTTCGACAGGTTGCCTTGGTGCCTCAATGCAGTGATTCCATCCATGTCAGGAGCAACATTTGCAGTTGTTGGTGCCTTCACATCTGCATGCACCAGCAGACAGCGATAAGCATGGCGGAACTGCACAGCAGAAGGGTTGTTGTTCCAGCCGCCGCGCTGTCTGATGCAGCTGAAGAACATCTCCAGATGATCCTGACTGAGACGGTATGTGCAGATGTATCTGCATTTGGTAAATCACACGAAAAATGTTATGATATTTAAACTACCACAACAAATTAATCAAACAAGTTTCAGCTTTTACCTGCACATGTCCCTCTGAAACAGAGCATCTGCAAGCTCAGCGACGCTCTTCAGGGTGAATGCCATGCTTATAACAGACATGCGCCTCCCATCTTCAGCAACTGGTTTCCCTGATGGAAGCTGTAGGGACATCAACGTCTCAGACAAGGTGACCATCTTCTTCTTTTGGCTCTCAAACAAGGTTTGTCTAAGTGGAGCCTTGAAGCCCGTTGCCCTTGGGTTGTGGGAATTTAGCAGGTCAAATGCTCTAAAAAGAAAACAGAATAGCATCAGTCATGATACCTGCAGTATATAAGGCAGAAGTGAATTGTACATTTGTAATTTTGAACCAGGTGAGATTTTTTTGCAGTCTCATTCCTCGTCCTGTTCTTTCCTTGTATCATTTGTCACGTGTGATACCCGCGTAAGAAATCATGTGCAGTGAAATAAAAACTAGTGATGGACCGAATCTGCCAAACTTCAGATTCAGCAAAGTTCGGCAAATGCCGAACTTTTAAGGAAAGTTCACCAAAGATTCAGCAAAAATTTGGCAAACGTCTGCGCAGGCTCGAGAACGCGACGGGGTCATGGATTGCAAATGGACGCCATGCAGTCGTGCGGTTACCGTAGTGCTGTGTAGTACAACCAGCGGTTATGGCAAGTTGTAGAGTGGGCAACACGGTAACTTTGCATTTGTGAGCGAGCCTGGTGCTTTTCAATATTTTCTGCCTCAAGAATGAAAGATTGACCTGTAACTTACGCAGTTCAATGCGCAGTCCACTACGTAAGTGACAAATGATGCGGTACATTCTGGATAACGTGATTTTCATTTGATCTTTCCTGGACCTTTCCAGTGATGCAACGAGGTAGTTAAAACATTGTCTGACATTTACTTTAAAGTGCTCCTCTCAATTATAACAGTTGTGTTTTCAGCTCAGTAGTGTGGCCCAAAAAAAATAATATTGCTATTTCAATTAGCGTTATTTTGCAATTTTCATGTATCTGCATAAAACTAAACACAGAACTATCATGCTCGACGTTGAACATCTGACATTCCTAACTCTCCCTATCTTCCTAAACGTTTGTGTCTCCTAACACCAAAAACTGGCATTTTGAAGGTTAAAAACGAGACGTTGCAAATATGGGACACACACACTTTCATGCAAAGTTGACGTCATGTGACTGAAATAAAAAAATATGCATATTTACTACAATATTATTATCTCTTCTGGTGAAGGCTCAACAACCGTTGCATTCGTCTTCGCACACAAAACAGTGACTCCCAGAGAAAGCAAGAACACAGCATTATTGCCTTCATTTTAACAATGTGCACACACATGCAGGCTTGCGCTAATGATGCCTTAAAACCGAAACTCTCATAGCGATTCGCGACTGTGCCACGCTCGCTTCTACCCAACCTTGTTGTCATGCCGCTTCTGTAAGGAGTCACTAAAATTGCCACTAAGCACACAAAAACGGCAACAGTACAATTATCTTGTAGAATACCCTCTTATTTAGTAATAACTGTGTCAATATGCATTGCATGTTGCATTTAAGTTAAGAAAAAAAAAAACTTTTTTTTGAAAGACCAAAGTAAATATCAACAAAAAGTCTGGTAATAATGTATTTTTGCCGAATCTGTGCCGAATATTTAAAAAAGTTTGGCAAATGTTCGGCTTTGCAAAATCCCAAGATTCGCCGCTGAACTTTCAGTTCGGCGAAAATTCGGCCCATCACTAATAAAAACTAAGGGTTCTCCTTTCCCTTCTTCTAAATGTGCCTCTAGTTAACAAGAAGGGAAAAGGTAATTTTTAACGAAATCACCCTTTCCCTCCTTAGCTACAGCCGCATTTGGAAAGGGGAACCGTTAGCTTTGACTGCACTGCACACAACTTCTGACGTGGGGTATAGCTATACTTTTCTATAAACTTACTGGTCCACATCTGCTATGAACTTCGACGTTGCTTCACTGCCTCGGAATTCTTGGAGTTGCAGCTTTCGACCAAGTTCCAAGGCCTTGCTCACAGAAGAGCTGAGAGTCTGCGCCGCCAAGCGCACCTTCATAACTTGACGGTAGTATTCAACATGTGCTCTGCGGAGTTTATTTCCTGCCCGCAGACCCTCCATTTCCTGAAACCTCTGAAGGTCTTCAATGAAGTGCCACTGGATGAGCTGCAGTGATAAAAAGAAACAATGAGCCATGATACATATTATTTTATCATTACCTCCTTACCCCATACCTCGTGGTCAGGTATTTCTTATCCCCAAAGAGGTTTCTGAGGAGCTTCAAGCCATGGCACGCATCAAAGATGAGAAAGATTTTCTTGGCTGGGTCCTTCGGATGAGGAAATGACGTTTTGAAGCTGTCCACGTCAATCTCATGAATGAGGCAGCCAAACAGCTTGCCCATCATTACATTTGATGACAGTGCATCGCATACAACAGCTACAACTTCAAGATTGCACTCTGTGAGCAGTAGAATCGCTTCAGTAATTATGCCCTTAAGCACTTCACCAGAAAGTCCATTGTCTAAAAAATAGCCAATAGGGATCTTCCATGGAGCTGCAACTCCCACTGCCATGAGCACCAGAGCATCGGTTGCGGAAGGGGCGTCATCAGTATCGTCTGGGCTCTGGCCACCTCCGAAGTCAACATACCCAATAAGACGGCCGCTTTTGCTGTCGAGGTCAATTTTTTTTCTGATGCTCATTCCATCGAGCATGATGCTGCACAACCTCTCTCGTTCACTTGTGTTTTCATGGGTTTTCTTGAGGTGTTCAATGGCTTCGTGGGTAAATCCCGGCCAACCATCAACAACCTTGAGCCATGTGCGAAGTGTCTGAATGCTTGGCATTGGAAAGATGGTTGCCAAGTAAGCATACGCCTTTGGAGAGTGATAGTGCAGTGTTGAGGCAAACTTTCTCATCTTTTCACTATACCTTCTTCCAGAAGGGGTTCTCTTTTTATTTGCTTTCCAGGACTGTAGCAGCTCGTTGGGTAGCTCACCGAATGACTCAAGTTTCTGTTCCAGATCTTCCGACAGAAGATTCCTCTTCTTCAACTCAGTGATGACTGTCTTTAAGTCAACAAGTTTCTTGGTTGCTCTCTTCAGTCTTTTTGTGGTGGCATACAGTTTGCGCTTCGCAGTTCCAAGTCGCTTCTTTGCAATTCTAAGTCCCGTCCTTGGTGTGATGGGGCACGAGTAACCATGCTCTGCAGCAGTTAGTATCTGTTGTCCACCTGGCCGTCTCTCTGAAGTTGCTGTTGCCTAAAAGTGAATGAATGAGGATCGCTTAAAGGAATGTTTCGCCGGTGTAGAGATAAAATACATACAAGTCGGCGCCTTTTGGACGGTGTTTCTGCTTCTGAAGTGTCGCTCTGGAAAGACGATCGAAGCATATGTTCTTGTCAGGTTACAGTGTTCAAGACTATGACAATCGAAACAAGCCCCGTTCTTACCCCCAAGATAGTTGATGGAGAAAGGGCACCAGATAAACCAGACGAACTCCGCGACAGATGTGGCCGGTGCGGCTCTTTTGATAGATCCGTGTTACAATTACTATAGTATGTCACACTTGTCTCATTCTTACCCCCACAGGAGTTGACCAAGGGGGGGTCCGGATTCCAGTTGAAGGAGAGGCAGTGTCTAGTGGTTGCTGTTAGACATGTGGTTTGAGAACGGTGTTTGTTACGACAAGAAAGCTTTGAACCTGCTCAATCTTACCCCTGTTGCTCGGGGCACAGCTTGGACTCCGGAGAACCCAGGCGAGCTCTGTGACCGATGTGGCCGGTACGGCTGTGTGATAGATTTGTGTTACAATGGCCGTAGTCTCTCTTGTCTCATTCTTACCCCCACAGGAGTTAACCAAGGTGTGGTCCGAGTTCCAGTTGAAGGAGAGGCAGCGTCTAGTGGTTGCTGTGAGACATGCAGTTTGAGAGTGTGTGTTACCACAAGAAAGCCTTAAACCTGCTCAATCTTACCCCTGTTGCTCTGGGCACATTCTCGACACCGGAGAACCCAGGCGAGCTTTGCGACCGATGTGGCCGGTACGGCTGTGTGATAGATTTGTGTTACAATGACCATAGTCTCACTCGTCTCATTCTTACCCCCACAGGAGTTGACCAAGGTGTGGTCCGAGTTCCAGTTGAAGGAGAGGCAGTGTCTAGTGGTTGCTGTGAGACATGCAGTTTGAGAGTGTGTGTTACCACAAGAAAGCCTTAAACCTGCTCAATCTTACCCCTGTTGCTCTGGGCATAGCCTCGACACCGGAGAACCCAGGCGAGCTCTGCGACCGATGTGGCCGGTACGGCTGTGTGATAGATTTGTGTTACAATGACCATAGTCTCGCTCGTCTCATTCTTACCCCCAGAGGAGTTGACCAAGGTGTGGTCCGAGTTCCAGTTGAAGGAGAGGCAGTGTCTAGCGGTTGCTGTGAGACATGCAGTTTGAGAGTGTGTGTTACCACAAGAAAGCCTTAAACCTGCTCAATCTTACCCCTGTTGCTCTGGGCATAGCCTCGACACCGGAGAACCCAGGCGAGCTCTGCGACCGATGTGGCCGGTACGGCTGTGTGATAGATTTGTGTTACAATGACCATAGTCTCGCTCGTCTCATTCTTACCCCCAGAGGAGTTGACCAAGGTGTGGTCCGAGTTCCAGTTGAAGGAGAGGCAGTGTCTAGCGGTTGCTGTGAGACATGCAGTTTGAGAGTGTGTGTTACCACAAGAAAGCCTTAAACCTGCTCAATCTTACCCCTGTTGCTCTGGGCACATTCTCGACACCGGAGAACCCAGGCGAGCTTTGCGACCGATGTGGCCGGTACGGCTGTGTGATAGATTTGTGTTACAATGACCATAGTCTCACTCGTCTCATTCTTACCCCCACAGGAGTTGACCAAGGTGTGGTCCGAGTTCCAGTTGAAGGAGAGGCAGTGTCTAGTGGTTGCTGTGAGACATGCAGTTTGAGAGTGTGTGTTACCACAAGAAAGCCTTAAACCTGCTCAATCTTACCCCTGTTGCTCTGGGCATAGCCTCGACACCGGAGAACCCAGGCGAGCTCTGCGACCGATGTGGCCGGTACGGCTGTGTGATAGATTTGTGTTACAATGACCATAGTCTCGCTCGTCTCATTCTTACCCCCAGAGGAGTTGACCAAGGTGTGGTCCGAGTTCCAGTTGAAGGAGAGGCAGTGTCTAGCGGTTGCTGTGAGACATGCAGTTTGAGAGTGTGTGTTACCACAAGAAAGCCTTAAACCTGCTCAATCTTACCCCTGTTGCTCTGGGCATAGCCTCGACACCGGAGAACCCAGGCGAGCTCTGCGACCGATGTGGCCGGTACGGCTGTGTGATAGATTTGTGTTACAATGACCATAGTCTCGCTCGTCTCATTCTTACCCCCAGAGGAGTTGACCAAGGTGTGGTCCGAGTTCCAGTTGAAGGAGAGGCAGTGTCTAGCGGTTGCTGTGAGACATGCAGTTTGAGTGTGTGTTACCACAAGAAAGCCTTAAACCTGCTCAATCTTACCCCTGTTGCTCTGGGCATAGCCTCGACACCGGAGAACCCAGGCGAGCTCTGCGACCAATGTGGCCGGTACGGCTGTGTGATAGATTTGTGTTACAATGACCATAGTCTCGCTCGTCTCATTCTTACCCCCACAGGAGTTGACCAAGGTGTGGTCCGAGTTCCAGTTGAAGGAGAGGCAGTGTCTAGCGGTTGCTGTGAGACATCCCAACAAACCACTGGATGTCCATTGGACATCCGATAGGTATCCGCTCAAGATATTCGGACGTCCCCAGGAGATCCGTAGCCGTCCGACGGACGTCCCCAGGATATCCGTCAGAGTGCCAAAGGTAACAAATTTGCATGTCCGTCGGACATCCGAAATGGGATCCTTCTGCAGGCCAATTTTGGATATTCGGATGGCTTGCCTGAATTCATTCTACTTTAGCCCAGATATGTTGTAAACCAGTCAAAACACTAACCTGAGCCAATTTCTACAGGGTAGAATTTCTTCGGATATCCCGTGAACATCCTATAGACATCCGATTCAGATATATCGAACATCTGTGGGACGTCCGTATACGTCCAACGAACATCCCCAGGACATCCGACAGAGCGCCAAAGCGAACAAAATTGCACATCCGTTGGACATCCGAAACGGGATCCCTCTGCAGGCCAATTTCGGATATCCCGGGAACATCCGATAGAGATCCAATTCAGATCTACCGAACATCCGTGTACGTCCGATGAACATCCCCAGGACATCCGACAGAGCGCCCAAGCGAACAAAATTGCACGTCCGTCGGACATCCGCAATGGGGATCCCATTGCGGATGTCCGACGTACGTGCAATTTTGTTCTGCAGACCAGTTTTGGATATTCAGATGCCGCATGCCTAAATCCGTTCTATTCTTTCCTGGATATGTTGTAAACAGTCAAAGGACGACCCTGAGCCAATTTATATTGGCAATATGGTTTTATTACTACACTCGTGTCCTATTTATACAGGCGCTTCTTCTGATTCATCTCAGAGGTTGGTGTTCAATCTTTACGCATTGGGAAACCATCTTGCTTTGTGTCATCTTGCAGCTGTCTTTTCATGGCCCTAACAAAGAACCAAAGAAGGTATCAGTGCAGGAAATTTCATAGTACATCCAGAAAGTACCTGTAATTGTCTGGCATACTGTAAGGTCACAATCCCCGGCGTGGGCAAGTCCTCTCTGCACCGTATGGCCCTAAGAAAACAAGTTGGAGACGGTATCGGTATGAGTGAAGGTAAATTTTGCAACACTTGGAAGTTACCTGTGGCTGAGTAGTGTAGTCTAAGGTGTTCGTCCCTGGCATGGCAAGGTCATTTCTGCACCAAGGTGAAGAAGAGATGAATGCACGCAACTTTCACACCAGAATCGGAACATACCTGTAGCTGAGTGGCATGGTCTAAGGTGCTACTCTCTGGTGTGCTGGGCAGCCCTTGCTACACCGCATGGACCTAAAAAATCAAGTTGAAGAAATAATGAGCGCAGAGAAATTTCACAACACTTTTAAAACCTTTTAGTAGCCGAATAGCATAGTGTGAGGTACTAACATTTTTCCATAACATGGCAAAGAACAAACGCTGCGGCCCCGCAAGACAGTCAGAGCGAGTTGCATCACAATGTAGCCGTCGTGCATTCCTCCCGTGGAGTGCTGTCATGTACTTTCCTCTGTCACTTTAATTGGCTCACGGGGGCCATATAGCTTTCACCCTTAGCCAAGTTATAGTGAAGCGGAGTGTACTATAAAGGCGCGTTCCCACCGGCGATGCGATCTAGTCGTGCGATCACTTTCATCGCAAAAGCGACCATTGCGGGCAAAAAACGACGCGATTCGAGCAGTCGCGACTCGACCCGACTTTTTTGTGATGCGATCTAGTCGCGGAGCGGCTGAGCCAATCAACGGCGTTCGGAGGGAGAGTTTTCGAGAAACGACTTGCCAACGAAGGCGTTGGACTCACTCATTGCGCACGCCGGTGTGACCATCTAATTTGTTTGCGATGCGATCTAGTCGCATCACGCGACTGCTTACATCGCCGGTGGGAATGTGCCTTAAGAGTGGCAACTTGGGAGAGTTGGTGATGCATTACAACCAAAAAAAGCGCAAAAATTGGACGAAGGACGAGTGAGAGGAATGTAAGCGACAGGCGCCGACTTGCAACTAAATTTTTAATTAGGGAAAAACATGAAACCCTCGAGCCACCAAAACATGAAACACCGCCAATCTTATCAATGTGATTACAATATTGCTTCATAACGCTTATGAAGCAATTGCTTCATTTGTGCCAAATATGGCACAAAATACAAACCCTTGAACTGTAATTTTGTAGCTAATTACCAAAAAATGTTGCTTCGCAGCTCTGGAAACAAGTAGGCACATATAACAATGTTCAAACTTGCCTTGTACACGACTTGACTGGTAGTAAAAAAGGATAGCACATTCCATAGTAGAAATTACCAGGGGCATTTTTATGGTCCATTGGCTCCGTTAATGCCTGCTCACTGGCCTTTCCTGAAAATACAAAAAAAATGGGTTCAATAAAAAGTCAAAAATAAATTTGTCATCAAAAGTGGAGTGCCACTCAAATACAAAAGCAGAGCATTAAATGTACTTGCACACCTTCTTTCCCACAAATCCACAGTAGGCCATTTCCTGCCATCTATGGAGTGCATCCAGTGTACGACGAGGCACCAAGAAAGTGATCCGTGCAAGGAAATTGAACATCTCCATGTTGAAATTACGTTCTTAAATTGCACCATACTGTAAGTCCCGTAATCATCTGGGTGCACTTTGCAGTGAGTGGACTAGAATGTGCTCTGCAACAGGGAAGACGTGCATGCATTTTTCAGAGGTGGATATATATAGCGATGTGAATCACGAAACTGCCAAAGAAAAGTGCAGACATGATGGTGTGCCTTCATGTGTGTGGAGATAGTATATAATGAACATCAGAGTTTATGTATGGTATTAACAACATATATCTGATTAAATGAGAATCTTCAATTTTACTGTGCTAAACACTGCGCACTATGCAGCTGCTTAAAATCCACTGTAGGAATGCAAATACGGTATAGGCGCTCTTTCGCATTTTGCTTCTGCAGAATCGAGTCCAGCACCAAACTAGACGCCATGAAAGCACACATTGACCCATCATGATCCACTTCATTCCAAACGCGAGGCTTTCAGCGCCCCCGCCAAGCACGCGCGAGCGTGCAGTGCAAGCAAAGGTTCAGGGGAACATGCTTGTGCTAGTAGCTTCGGCTTCGTTTGCACACGAAGTGAAACAAACATTAGTAGCTTCGATAAAAGCCATTCATGTGTAAACAAAACACGCAAAAAAAAAATTAAGATTGAACTTTGGAGAGCAAATCCCTTGGTCTACTTTATGATTAAATAAGCCTGAGACTGAGGAACACATATAAGGGGAAAAACACACACGGCCCCAAACATAGCTGCTGAGTTCTAGCCGCTGCTGGAGTTCTAGCCGAACTCGTTTGCACCCGAGAGACCAAGCAGCCCTGACACCGTACCCGGGCTGGACGGCGCGGCGTCAGGTCCACGCCGACGACGCAGCAGCTTCACCGCCCTCACGTTCTCAGGCGTCAAAAACACAATTGTTCACTGTCCCTGAGAACAGCCCAATGCCTAACTTCTAAAAGGTCACTCACCTTCCGATTCCCTTGTAGCCGTGCTCGATGAAATGGAGAACAGTGGCGAGACGGAGGCTGTCAATCACCGGTCCTAAATCGAGACTCGCACTTGCTTGCTCGCACAGGCTTGAGAGCGGATCATTCGTGTCCGCTCGCTTTTGATCTTTATATTTTAAAAGTGACAATAACACTCGCGAAAAGAGAAAGCGAGCGCGGTAGCAGGATAACAGCGGAGACAGCGACGGCGGCGGTACCGGCAGGCCGAAAAAGGCGCTATTGGCTAGAATAATTCTGCAGTAAATACATTGAAGCTTTTTCCTGATATTTCCAGATATTACCTATTTATTTAGAGCAATTTCCTTTATAACTGAATATAAAATGTCGCTGAATTTATTTTGTTAGTAACTTTTTAATACTTAGGGTCTACGCGTTTACTTTTCATTTTTCTCATTTACTGCGGAGATGCACGCCTCAGAAGCTAGGGAAGTGCAGCTAAAGTGAACTTTAGTGCAGCTTCCAGTTTCCTTAATACAGAAAGAATAAACAGAAAGGACGGACAAGGACGGACATCTTTCGACTTTCAACAACATGTAGCGTTCTTTAATAAAGAACGCTATTAGAAGTTGGCATCGAGATCGGTGAACCTAGAGAAAAAAAGGGGGGGAAGGAAAGGACAAGTGACAGAAGGGAGGGAGAGGGAAGAGGGAAAGGAGTAAAAGGGGGGAAGGAAAGAGAAAGCGAAACAAGGGAGGGAGAGGAGGAGAGAGAATCGGGGCAGCGGAGGAGCGAGGAATTGTTAGCCCAGTGGGACAAGAAGGGGGGTCGGCATGAGAAAGTCGGGAAGTTGTTAGCCCGTTAAGATTAGGAGGAGGGGAAGGAGAAGAGGGGTCATCTCAAGACACAGAGCGGCGCCGCATCACCGCACTGTCAGGGAGCAAGGGCCCCCCGGGCCCGCGTCAAGGCCGCAAGTTGGGGGCGCAAATAAGCCGCCTCCCTCTCGGAAAGGACAAGCGAGGGAGACGAAATGTTTTGAGATGCCTGCTGCATGGCGTAAGCTTCAATTATCTCGCGTCCGTAGCGGTCTCTATGTGAGCCCAGGATCCGCGCGTTGTGAAACCGGGGCTCACACGAAGAACATGCGCCTCTATGGCGGAGAAAGGGATGCTGGGACTCAATGTCCCCTTTTTTTATTTCCCTGTCGTGCTCGCCCAGCCTGTCATTCACGCAGCGGCCCGTTTGACCGATATACTCGGCGCCGCACGACAGGGGAAAGGAGTACACGCGTCCAGTTGCGCAGGAAATGAAGGGTGTTTTGTGTTTCTTTGCAAGACACAGAGCGGCGCCGAGTATATCGGTCAAACGGGCCGCTGCGTGAATGACAAGCTGGGCGAGCACGACAGGGAAATAAAAAAAGGGGACATTGAGTCCCAGCATCCCTTTCTCCGCCATAGAGGCGCATGTTCTTCGTGTGAGCCCCGGTTTCACAACGCGCGGATCCTGGGCTCACATAGAGACCGCTACGGACGCGAGATAATTGAAGCTTACGCCATGCAGCAGGCATCTCAAAACATTTCGTCTCCCTCGCTTGTCCTTTCCGAGAGGGAGGCGGCTTATTTGCGCCCCCAACTTGCGGCCTTGACGCGGGCCCGGGGGGCCCTTGCTCCCTGACAGTGCGGTGATGCGGCGCCGCTCTGTGTCTCGAGATGACCCCTCTTCTCCTTCCCCTCCTCCTAATCTTAAAGGGGCGGTGCAATGATTTTAACACTGAAAGAATGTGCAGCTTGTATTTTTTATATTGTTTACTTCAGCATAAGTGAGAGAAAAAGTGCCACCATACCCCAAAAGACCTATATTTCGCTGCGTAATCGCAAAATAAAAAACGTTTTTTTTCCCCAACCTGCGGCCACATGGTGGCCGCAAATGGAACTTGTGGTGTCGCGTCATTCGGAGTGGTTTTTTTAAGTGATAGTGTTAGGCAATTGTAAGCTTGATTTAAGGTTAAGTTTAAAAAAAAAAAAATCTTGTTGTTTAGGCATGCAGAAACGCTTCAAAAGCCTAATATTGCCGCTAAAAGATTTGTGGCGCCATCTACCGCAAGTCAACCAAACCTGCCGTCGCCGACATCCATCGACGCCCGAGGCGCCTACGGCGGCTACACGAGCAACCCGGACCAGAGCGAGCGCGCGCGTCGAGACCGGCCGTGCCCGGACGTTTCGTCTTTCCCTCGCTCGACGGAGTGCGTTAATTGGTCGTGGTCCGTAGTATCGTGGTATCGTTATTGTTCCTGGTGTCTCAACCTCGACTTCGACTGCCCGCTGCACAAGTCTACCTGACTTACTATACGCAAGCACCTTGCGCTCGACGTCGCTCAGGCCGTCCGCCCATGCCGCCATATTGGTCGGGAATCGACGGGAGAGCGGCGAGCCTGGCGAGCCGGCGAGCGCGGCGAGCGCTGGGGAAACGGAAGCCAGAAGCACCCAACCGGAAACCAACGCCACTCCGAATGACGTCACAGGCGAAGCTGGTGCCGCTTCAATGTTGAGTTGAGGGGTGCCAGAGATACCAATTTCTTTTATTTTTTTAACGAAAACTAGGGCAAGCAGGAAAGAATAGTTTTCGGTCCTTCGTTTTATAGGTGGCCGGGATCAATTCCCGCAATTAATTAGCCGAAGTCCGCAAATTGTTGCACCGCCCCTTTAACGGGCTAACAACTTCCCGACTTTCTCATGCCGACCCCCCTTCTTGTCCCACTGGGCTAACAATTCCTCGCTCCTCCGCTGCCCCGATTCTCTCTCCCCCTCTCCCTCCCTTGTTTCGCTTTCTCTTTCCTTCCCCCCTTTTACTCCTTTCCCTCTTCCCTCTCCCTCCCTTCTGTCACTTGTCCTTTCCTTCCCCCCCTTTTTTTCTCTAGGTTCACCGATCTCGATGCCAACTTCTAATAAAGAACGCTACATGTTGTTGAAAGTCGAAAGATGTCCGTCCTTGTCCGTCCTTTCTGTTTATTCTTTCTGTATTAAGTCATCAAAACCAACGCGCTCACGTTTAACTATTTCCAGTTTCCTCCTACCATCGCGACGACGCTAACGACGCGGCGTGTTGCGGAAGAAAGGCAAACTAAGTACCGTGTTGGCGCGGCACTCGCAACAGATGGCGCGGTACTCGCCACACATGGCGTATCCTCCCCTCCAAACACACACAACCAAGGCACACAACACACGCAAAAACCGCCCGCCAAAACGGTGCCCCCCTCTCCGTCGACGTCTTTTCTTTATATTTTTTGTTTTTCCCGACCGAGCTGTTTTGGCGTACGCTTTGTGCGAAGGCACTAAAGCTTCCCCTCCCACTTAGGGGGTGCTTTGTGCAAAAAAGTAAGACACGGATTGCGCTTTTGTAGTGGAGCACGCCACTGAAGCGGCGATACTAAAAATTGGAAGCACCACAAAGTCGACGTTTCAAACGTGCTACGCAGCACCGCTTAAGATTTTTGTTGTAACGCTGTAAGACTGCAGCATATTCGTTTCTCTTACCAAAAATAAAAAAAAAACAAAAAAAAAACACGTCATTTTTTCCCGGAATACTGCGATTCCGCCGTGTAATCGCAAACCAAAAATCTAACTATTTCCCAATCTGCAGCCGCGTATGGCGACAACGAGAACCATGGCGTGATACACAAGATTTTAAGTAATTTAAAACGAAAAAATACTTTTAATAGTCCGTATTCAGTACCCTAGCTGAAATGCGGGAGAAGTGATTGTCAGAAAAAGCGAACCAGCTGTTTAGAGCGTGGGTATCAAGAATAAATGAGTCTTACTAAACAAAATAATTATAGCTGAAATCTTTAAAAACAAAAACAAAAAAAAAACACTATAAAGATTTTTCTTTTCTTTTTTTTTTTAGAATAGTAAAAAAAACATTAAGTTACATCGCTAACCCCAACCGGGAGGGAAAAATATATTTGGAAAAGGATTGAAGAAACAATTGACCCATCGCAATACGTTTCTCTAATCAACAAACGAAGTAAGAGGGGGAAAACATCTTAAACAGTCGACTGAACAAATCATTAAAATCAATAATAACAAACTTTTTGGTTTTTTTCAATTACGAGTTGATGAGATCAGAAGTATTTGTAATGATAATGTGGCTAGGGTGACCAGTCTGTCTATGCTGGAAAAAGCGATGAAGAAACTTCATCGTGACGTCGCCGGTGGGAGGAGTCTAATCTCAATCGGCGATTCGGCGGCGAACTCAACTGGCAGGGAACTTCATCGCGGCGCGTTGATGACGTCGACGGAGAGTGGCGATTGAGTTGAAACTTCATCGGGATTTGTCCCCAAAATATGTCCCTAGAGGGAAATGCGCAACGCCGCATCGAAGGGTCTCGTAAAAGCAACATTTTTAACTTCTGAAAATGTATAATGCGGTACAATCTAAATATAATTACCGGTGTCAAGTCTAGGTCGCATGAATCATGTCTTTCTACGTAAGTGAAACAATTTAGATGATCGCAATGCGTGAGCTGCATCGCGATCGTGATGAATCGTCATGACCACTGATCTCAATGACAATTGCTGGATCGCGCTTGCCGCTCCCGCAAGTGAAGCCACCGGGCGTCACTCGCTTGGGATACGATTTGCCGTTTTTGCTAGCCTTTGCTGCGGTTTTCCAGCGTGCTGACGACACGTTTTCTACTCGTTCGTCGTCATTCGCCGAAGAAGTTTTTTGAAGACTCTGTGTATTGTTGAGACTTTCCGTTGTGAACACGTGGAAAATTTTACGAAAGTGCAGTGTCGCAGGAAAAAGGCACAACGCGTCGAAAGGAAGGGCTGGCGGCGTGTTCAAAGCATCCTTGGCACGCCGAAGTGCCGTGTCTCTGTGCCTTCGCGCGCTTGGATACCGACCAAGAACCGACGCCGTGTGAATGTGTTTAGCGAGTGCAATGTGCGTGAAGCCGTATCAAAAGGTACAACTCGTCGAAAACGTGTCGCCGGTGTCGCGGCGTGATCAAAGCTTCCTTGGCACGCCGAGTGATGCATCTTTGTGCCTTCGCACGCTTGGATACCGGTCAAGAATTGACGCCGCGCCAAAGTTCTGAACGTGTGTCGCGCGTAGATGCCTTTAGATCATTTATATATATCGGCCACGGAGTTCTGGATCGTCCAGCTGTTCCGGTGAGTTGCTATCAATAAAAGGGGGAGATCTGTACGTATTCTTATGTACTATATTAACCATGGCTATGTCCCAAATCTACTCTAATAGATTCCGTGGGAGCACGAATAGGGCAACGTTGTACGTGGAGCCAGGGGGGTTTTCGAAAGCAAATGTACAAGACGGCGAGAATGAAAATCTTTGAAGCGCGGCCGATATGGTCGTGTGAATCTGTTGACCAATTACATTAGGCGAGTCGCGTAGGTTGATAATAAGCCAGCACTGATCAGTGATGAGGAGCTGTTGTGCACGGTATTGTGTAAATTGTCTAAGGACGAAAAAAAGACGTACCTTCTCCCCATCTCCCGTCGCTAGTGGACGCTGGATTAAGCTCGTTCCTAAACCGCGAGGGGAAAAGACGCTGATCCAGAGGCACGAACAGCTTCACGCAC